ACTAAGGGGAACTTTGCGAAGTTTTGTTGCCTTCCGATTGTCTCGTTGAACCGTTTATGCAGATATATTATCGAGAAAGAAAGCTTTCAGCTGTGTATGTAATCGCATAAGTAAAAGAATTGTAGCCAAGACAACCATTTTTCTAATAAGTGTTACTATAAAAATTATGATAATTATAATGACTATAATTACACTACAATGTGTGCAAAGAGAGAGAGAGATAGAAAAACTGCAACGACTATAACGAATATAATGGATACAATGACTCTATAATGACTACATTAATAACTATAATTACACGAAATACTAATATGACTATGGCTAATCTACTAATAACTATACTACTATAATTATATTATAATGATTACGACTGTATATAATAATATATGTGACTATATACTACTACAGCTGTATTAGTACCGTGACTGTAACAATCTCACGCGCATATTGTTTGGCTGAAAATCAGAAGGAAATATAGTTGGGGCCGAAAATGACTGTAATTTTAGGTGGGATTTCCCTGAGCGTACGTATATTGCATATAAACACAGTACTTAAAGCTCCATCAACATCTTCGCGCTTCTAAATTACTTATTATTCGCGACGCGTGTTTCCTTATCGTCTCCTTTACTCGCTGTATTAAGCGACACTCTCGACATTCTTTCGCCGTCCTTACTTTACCGTAAAATCACGCCGTCTCTCGCGCCGCGATCGTCGCGATCGTCGCCGATTTTTGCGTGAAAAGACTAACGGGAAAAGGAGAGGACGGGGGAAGCGGGTAAACTCTGCCGAGAATAATGACACTCGGCTGATTACGAAATTACACTTCACCGCGCTTATTTATACGAAATACCGCGGAATGCCTGGTTGACGCGCGATACCTTCGCGCGCGCACGGCTCGTATGTAAAATAACGGCGTGGCGTTGTATATCGATCCCTTCCGCCGCGAGTTTGCCTCTCGGTCACGTGATGCGGCCGAACATAGAGAGAGAGAGAGAGCACTCCGATCCTAGGCACGGTTAATATCAGGATGACTATTACCGAGCCGGGCGTAAGGAATTGAAAAACGATGCTCAGCGATACCCGACGATCCCTTCGCGCACACCCCGTAGCACACCGGCGAGCAATTTATCCGTGGCTTTAATGATACACCGTGCGACATCCCGAGGACGACGTCCAGACACGCTCGGCTGATTCGACGGGAAAATTAACGCACTGTCCGCGTAATCCGAGGTACAACACCGCGGGGTTAAGTGATACATCGGACGTCCTCGGAGCGCCTCCTTCGACAACTGAAACGCCTATCCCCTGGATCAGTCGGCCGACTGATTAGCTGGGCGACTCCCGCGGGAAGGCTCGCGGATTCTCCTCGGGGCTCGATTACGAGTGATTCGTATCGAACGATACTGATCGAGAGAAATTCCAGATATTGACTTTTTCGCGCTGATCGCCAATAAACGCACCGGGAGAAATTATGATTATTTTCGGCCTCAACTACGCACCTTTCTTAGGGTTTTACTCGCGAACAAAGTAGTAGCGGTATGCATCTAAGATTATTATCACTCATATTGCGGTAGTTTAATAGAAAGACTTATTAGAAAGACACTTCTCTTAACTATAATTCTTTTACCTGTACGATTATATAGTTATAAATATTAATAATCTTCTCAGTGTGTCCCTTATCATTGTAAGTAATTATATGATTTTCAGTCTCACCCATATACGGCATAAGATTGAAAGTCGTGTATTATATAAAATGTAGTCTGTAGTAAAAGGCTAATAACACCGAAACGTAGTTGTATTGTATGATGCGCAAGTGTTCTTTCAACTGCCGAAAAAGGCCGATCCGACTGCACAATGCGAGCGATTCCACCTGTGGTTGCGGGAGATTGACTAAATTAGATAATAAATAGGAGCCGATAATATGTGGGTTCAGCTTAAGATAATCGTCTCCATTGAACTAAATTGAACGAAATTTTGTGCCTGAGTTACACAAAACGAGAGATATTAAAAGGAACACCGAGGTTTTTCTAAAAGAGGCTCGTTATGTCGACTGATCTTCTTTCATAGTGCGGCAACTAAGTAATAGCGCAGATCGGTCTCGCGACGATTCGCGCATCCGTGCGCATCCGGTAGTCGCGCATAAAGGGACAGAGAGCGCGATCCTTTCACTGACCGTGGCGTTTCACCGTGCGGCTCCTCGGTCGTGTCTCTACGAAAAAAGAGGGAAGAATTATCTTCCGAATCGAGGATACCAATAAGCAATAATTGTATGTTTAGCGACCGCGCGCCGCGTTTGCATTCGTGCCGGCACGACAAGCCGTAGCAGGCTGCCGTGGAGCAGGGAAGCGAGGAACAAAATGACTATATCTTAATCATCTCTGGTTATTGCCTTTCTAGACCGCTCGGACTCCGCTCGTGGGAACACACACGGTCAACCCGCGGAAGAGAGAACGCGCGGGAGGATCGCGACATGCCTATCATTCTCACTGTTCGAAATGGAGCTTTTAACTATAATCGCATAAGTGAACGAATTATAGATCGGAAGAAGTATTTTCCTAGTAAGCGTTATTGTATATTGCCGATGATAATACATCTTACACGTATGTTGCTGCGGCTACTTTTTTAGAGTTAAGAGTAGAAGAAGACGATGATTTTAGGCCGAAATGATTGATCATTTTGGTGGGATTTCTCTCAGTGCTCTCGGACACGCGTGTATCGTGTCCGTGCGCCCAAGTCCGCTCGAACTCGTCGAACTCACGAGCCTTCGTGTATGACGGCATGAGAAAAATATGAAAAAAAAAAGAAGTATATGAACTCCGCAATTTCGTGTTTGAGGCAAACACGGGGCGGGTGAGGGAAGGATAAGCTACGTCAGACAGTGATGCATACGTGTGAGAAGTCGTGTCTACATGATCCGCACGTATAAAGCATTATCGACGCCCATGCCCGCGGGGAAAAGCTGTCGTTGATCGAGTACGGGATCGGCCTGAAAGACACCGGAGATGCGTGCCGGCGATAAATGGCCTCTTTCGGCTCGTTTATCGTGCGATTCCTTGCTAATTTTAACGCCGACGCGAAAGCGTCCCTTCTCCGATAGTCTCGCAGAGCTGCTGATCTAACGTGAGGAGAGCCCGCGACACGCGAGACATCATGAAGAAATCTGACCGCGAGGTTTCGACGAATCGACACTCAAGTGTTTGCCTGTAATAATGTCTAGCTAGAGTGAACTATCGCATAAATGTACGACGATATGCGGTAAAAATGCACAGTCCGACACGATACATTGAGAAAAAGTTCTTGATATTTGTGACTCTATGCACGTAAATGTAAGATTTGTAGTCAGGCTAACCATTTTTCTAGTAAGTGTTACCATATTAATTACTATAGCAACTATAATAACTGCAATGATTACGACTATAATGAGTATAATGGTTACAATGACTATAACGACTACAATGTGATTATCAATAGTGAAACATATACTAAGTAAATATTAATTATTAATAACTATAATTGTTTTAACTATATTATAATGGTTATAAATATGCTATTATAGTAACTAAAATAATCTTACTAGGTGCCAATAGCTACTATTATTTTTTCGTTTAAAACTAGAAGAAGATCAACTTGGCCAAAAATGACTACTCTAGTAGGATTTCTCTCCGTATAGCTTTAACATACGAAGTTACACCATTTTAAAACTTTCCATAAAAAATGTATTACGCGCTCTATAGAAGGGTACAACACTTTATTACTTATTCTTTGTGACCGTACACGGTGAGAAGAAAACGTGCTGAAGAAAGAATCGACGTATTGAACGGTTCTTTGTGAGATCTTTTACGCTTCAGCAATTTCGATGTTGTGGACCACGCTTTTATATAATTAGACGGTTTCCGCGAGCGTGATAAATTCCTCCGTGAAATAACGGAGCTGCGAATGATAACTCGCTACTGTGTAATTTTGATGAAAGTACCACGCGATACTCAGCGCAGCGCACCGTTTCGATCTTGGTGTCCGCCTCCGGTGGATGGAGCCACCGATTACTTTACGCAGCATGCGCTCTTTCGTTCGGGCAATAAGGACGACGTTACAGCATTGTAACGTCACGGCAAGTCTGTCGCATCGGAGAAACGTTGAACGTTTGTTTCATCGTAAAATTAGGGAACAATAATAATACAGTGATAAACAATTTGATAAGGAAAAAACATCCAATTATCGAGCTTATCTTGATAAAAGAAAGTACTGAAGTTTGTTTTGCAAATGCTGAGACAAACAACGAAAAATTGTTACATCATCTGTCGAAAAAACCGTTCGACAATCTTGTGATTTGAACTTTATAAAGTATAATTCAGTATATGCTCTTATACGCAATTCAATTTTACGTTGAAAATCTATATATCGCAAGATTAGAAACAAAATACGTGTTTTCAAGGTGGCGTATCGACACATTACGTCGACTTCGCGAAGCGTTTCATTGATATATCGATACACGTATTACACATCTTGGCGGTTAATTCGGCAATTTGTATACATCAAGCGGGGGACGTGATGGAAATTCTAACGAGGACGAAACGCGCCCACATGGGACCCAATAAAGCAATCTGTATTATGCCGACGAGCAATCTCGGTTACAAGTCGATCTGCGCCTCATGTTTTTAAATATTAAAAAATTAATATTTTTCTGCTCAAATCAAAAAATAATAATAACGATAAGCACATTATATAGATTATTACCGATAACGCTCTTCCTCTCTCTATCGTAGTATTTACTACATAAATACTCGCTTAGTTTTGACAGTGTGCGTTAAATTGACGATCTCCATGCTGAAATCACGAAGCCGCCCGACGGAATTTCCTCGCGGAGAATTTTCTTCGCGTATTAATAGCGATTGATAGCTCAAACAGATCAAGCGTTCGAGTACCCGAACACTTCGATAAATCTCTCTCTCTCTCTCTCTCTCCTCTTTTTTTCTTCTGAGCGAGAGAATCGCGACGGAGAATCGAGCGGTGTCATTGGGTTATCGACGACTATCAAAGTTTCAAGTGGCTTAACAACACCGTGCGAGCGTTTAGTAATCGGGAAGGATGCGCTGCTTCAACACGACCGTCGCTCTGGTGCTGATCCTTTTCGTGAGCCTCGGTTGGGGTTGGTCCTTCACGAACGTGGCGATGACCATCGACGAGTTGATGCGACCGCGAAACGAGGACTCGCGAGTTTTGAATTTCAACGAGAGCAACACCGTCCCAGCCAACAAGGACGCGGACGTCACGATGCTTGGCAGAATAATAGTGGTTCCACGAAGGAAAAACGGTCACTGTAAACCGGGCGAACAGGTCGATCGGCGTGGCAAGTGCAGGACGGTGTGGTGAGCGAGTTCGCCGGATAAATAAGGGGGCAAGGTACGCCTAAACTCCCCCTCACGGGGTCACACGATAGTTGGAGTTGTGGGAGTTTATCCGTCGTTTTCTCTCTTCTCGTATTATCTGTACCTTGAAAGCAAAAGAGCCTCGAAAACCGTTATCTTCATTTCTCTCGTTATCGGAATTATGGAAGTCTAAGGTCCGCATTGATAATTATTGGTTAAAAACTTGCCTCGAGTCTCGAGGTGTTCCAGTCTTGAATTCAGAATTAGACGTGAGTTTTTCATTTGAATCGCGATGACAGGTATTACCGTCAAATATATCACACGATTCACCTGAACCGTGTAGTAACGCGTACAGCGATGTATAGATTCTTAACTCGCGCGAGTGAACAGAGTGAATTTGTTGCGGTCTCGGTGGAGTGCGTGAAATTCACTATTTGATTTCGAGAGAAAATCTATTCGTTCATCGATTCAGAATAGAGAATTCATTTCGTCTGAGCGAAAAAGTCACTCGAATCGGAATCTCACTCGAGGAGATCACTCCGGAGAGTGTAAACGCTCGAGAACGTTCGCAGGAATTTCTACCGTATCTACTTCTCTCGAACATGACGAGTGTTTTTCAAACTCAAAAATGTTAATAAATTCCGTAGCACGTGTCTTTCTTTTTTTCTGACGTACGTGCAGCTCGCTAGCCGCCGAAGTGAAGGCCGCGATATCGTCATGCGGCGTTCTCGGCTATCGCAATCTCGAATCGATGAAAAACTCCAGGCACGTCGGCTGATAAAGCCGGCCGTGTATTCGCGATATTCCGCTTCGCCGATAAAGTAACCTTTTGAGCTGCTTCGAGTACAAGGTCGATTTTAATTTTAGCCCGTCCATTTCCGAGTGGACTGTTTGCGCTCGAACGGGAGCGAATCAATCGTCGCTGATCTCGCGACGGGGGCCGGCTAAAAGTCACGATCGCACCGCGCATCCGATTCCCTCCGGGCGAAAAATGCGAGTTTCCGCTCGGCCGGTCGCGAAACGTGCGGAATCCGAGTCTCGTTCGCGCCTGCTCGCGTACCCTCGTCCGTTGACAGGCGAACAACGTTCACGAGCCCGTCGCAACGGACAAGCAGCTTCTTCCGAGACCCGATAGCTTCAGCTCTTCGGGCACACGTGAACACGATCATCGGTGCCGATAAGCATCAGCGGCATAAAGGTCGCGCTAATCACGCTGCACGACTGTCTCGTCAGTATCGCATCTCGTCCGAAGGAAGTCGGTCGAAGGTTCCGCGTCGCGCCGCTCGAAACGCACCGGAAATCTCTCCCCTCGATCCGCGCGTTGAGTCAGCGATTTGTTTTCTCCGGAGAAGTGTGGGAAATGCGCGCGGATGATTACGTGCGCTGAGTGATTCCGCGTGATTTTTCCCAGCGAGTGTGCTCACTGGCGATCCGCTGGATTGTCGAAGAAATCCCCGAGAAGAATTGCGAAACGCGATCGGAATAATTCGCCGAGCCAGACGCCGATCTCGAGCGGTCATTCGTTACGCACGCTGTGCGTATTGCGCTCGCAATCATGAGGCTCACATTGGCGGTAGCGATAGCGCTGTTTTTCTTCCTGTCGATGTCGAGCGCGCACACCGCCAGCACGAACGTGTCGCGGGAGCATTTCGTGCTTTTCGTAGACTTGATGTCGAAAGTAATCGAGAAGGGCTCGATTATCAATGTCCCCGTGCAATGCCCGCCGGAGAAGGTCAAAATTGGAAATCGCTGCAGAAGGATCTTCTAGGTAAGCCGGGAAGAGGAAGGAAGGCGCGAGAGAAAACGCGAGGCCTCCGTTGCGTTGACAATGAGAGAGAAGGTGGTTTTGTCGGGTTAAAATTAAGCGATTTACAGCGATTTCGTTTGCACAAACGAAAGAATAGTAACAACAATAAGTGCACAAAGTTACCGTCAATGTCGGTGATATCCTGTTGTTTGACATTCTACGAAATATTTAGTAAAATTATTCCCAATTAGGCGGTTAAAACCGTCGACCGCAGATGGAGGCCGCTGAGGTGTGTACGCTGGAAGGAAAGAGATAGTAAATCTCACTAAAATTATAATCGTCTTAGCGCCAACTGTATTTTATGTTGCTCCAAAAGAACAGGGACAATAAGCATGTAAGATTATTCCCGATCGCATTACAGTAGTGCTTACTATAAAAACAGCGGCTATAAATATTTTTAGCGCGATTATAGTCACAAGTATCGGTCGCTTTTTTTTCTCAATATATACCCCGATTGATACGCACGCAATTGACTCCCATAGCGTCATCGGAGTCCGGTGTGTTGAATATGAGTGTCGTATATTTGCGTTATTGCGTCAGTAGCCGCGTGCTTATATCTGATTTTTTCTAATCTGCCTCCCCGCCTCCAAGTGCACGTCTATTTGCCGACGATGATAGCAGGCTTTTACGGCGCACTGACGTCAAACACGTTCGCACTTATGCCCGGATGGTCGCGGCGCGCTGACGCAAACCTATGATTTCGACGAAGTGTGTTACACTTTGCGAAGTTCATCCTCCCCGCCGGAAAGATTCGTCGTGGAGAACTCGGCCCGTCAGACGCGAGCGCAATCGCCACCTCGTATCGATCCTTTCATACCCGTCAACTATACGATGAATTACCCAAGCGTATTTATTTATAACCGCCATTCTATTTCCGCGTACTGCGTAGCCGCCGCTTCCGATATTACTCACCACTTCGCGCGTGCAATAAACCCTCGATAATCGATTTTACACGCGAGAAATGTCCAGATGTACGAGAGAGACCTTTCTTGATTTCTGTTGCAGAATCTCCGTAGATAGTCGACAACGTAGCCACTCGTCATCAAGGGGACACTTCCGAGAGGGAAACGGGAAAGAGAAGACCATACCAAACTCCAGCATAATTCGAGATGCGTGCACCGGAGACCTATATAGGGGATATCGGACTCTGCAAGGAAAAAAATGATTAATCTCATCAAATTGTAATTGCTCTCGGCGTCAATCATACTTTTTGTTATTCAGACGAGAAAGCAGTAACACCGATACACATATAATGTTATTGTAGTTAAGACCATGGGATAATATGTAGTACTATAGTAAGGTTTCCTACACAAAAATACTTTTTCCGATTATAATTATTTCGCGATGCAATTACAGCCACAAGTGGCAGAAAATACTTCTCAGACCGATCGAGATACTGAGAGGTCGCATATCCGAGTCGCGATGAGAAAAATCCGCAATCTCTGGTTTACTCGTTTAATCAGCAAACGGATATTGATTTTACATCGAGCGTATATAATTAGCGATATGAATTGCAGGAGTATTAAGTGCACGCTCGATATTAGAATAAAAGGAGACTAATGGGAAAACAATTAGTCTACGCAACAAGTTGAATCGATCGAATACGTCGATCATGGCTGCGTAAATGAATAAATGCGCACGATACCGGCATAATTATCATATTATTAGACTCACTCGGAGGCATAATGATAGAAACATGTTTCCCAATAAATTTCGTAACGCGTTCGGTAACTAGATAGAGGAATTTGTTTTGCAACGGCTCTCGAAAGATATGCCGTTCAGTTAGATGCGCTTCGAAATCCATCGAAAGAAAGCTGTTCTCGTCAATTTGCTTCCGAGTATGCGCGTATAAGGTGTGTACAGTGTCAAGAATGGTAGTTATTACGCGCTAAGATATATACGCCGGTTTATGTATACACGATAAGACACACATTGCACGTAAACTTAATGGTTTAGATAAAATCGCAATAAGTAAGGTATATAACTGACATATATATATATATATATATATATATATTAACTGACACATATATATATATATATATATATTCATATATGTACGTGTAAAACTGTCACAGGTCACTATAAAATAGGTGAAATGCATATCACATACGTATAGAGTATGCTTTCGTTACATTTTTCCTTATCGCCGACAATATTCGCTAGCGTTATTTCGCGAGGCGGAATTTATTCGTCGCACATACATGCAGGCACGTGTAAGCAAAGTTTAATCGCGCTTCTCGATAGTTTAATCGCGCTAGTATTTCACGGAAGTATTTTGACGTAATTATCAAGAAAAGGCTCGTGCGTAAGCAATCAGGATATGAGTATCAACCGCAAATTAAGGGTGACCAACAGGAGGAGGCAGGAAACCACATTGAAATGAGAGCCTAACTCATATATAAACATATGTGCCACAATCGTCAAAGGAGCCAGTCGTTTATTAGCGCGTCGAATAACACGAAAGCGCTTGCAAGGAGAAGCGAAGATATTTCATACGATTTCACATTCGCCACATTTAAATTAATTTAAAACCCAAGACTACTCGAGAGAGAGAAAGAGAGAGAGAGAGAGAACATCGTTCTTAATAATGGCACCGACGCGTCTGTTACTGCTGATTCTCGTGTCGCTGATGTTGGTATTCGCGAGTGAGGGGAGACCGCTGACTTTTCCACGGAGAAACCCGTCGCAGACGAAGTGCCCACCAGGCTATAGGCACACTCGTACCGGAGACTGCAGAGAAGTTCTGACGTATTGAAAAGGCGAGGTAAATAATTCATGTCACACGGAAAATTCCGCATTGAGAGAATAAAGATACTTAGTTTCGCCAAAATCATAATCATTTTCACCGTTCATCTCTTTTGTTGTTCCAATGGAAAAGTAATAGCGATATAAGCATATAAAGTTGTTATCAGTAATACTATAGTAGCGTCTGCTACAAAAAAAATAATTTTCGTGCAGCTATAATTATTTCGCTATAGAATTATAGTCACAAATATCAAATATTTTTCGCTCGGTGCATTCTCTCTCGGGGTGTGACGACAAACATGGGTATATATCAGAAAATTGTTATCCAGATATATTTTTTTCTTCTTTAATTTGATGAATATAATTAATATTATTCGCAAATGATGAGAACTTCTTCTGCTCGGACAGAATTTTTTTTTTAATCTACAAATAAAATAAGGAGAGCAATAATACTCATTAGTGAAAAAATGACGAAATATTTTTCTCAAATCGAAAGCTTGATGATTAATATTTATTGAAATAATCACCAATCAACATATAAAGCGATTTACGACGAATAATTGATATTTCTTTAATTATAGAATGGGGTACAAAGGCCACGGGACGTACTCAAAGATGCCGGATTAACTACAAGCGATATCGGATGTAACAAAGTGATTATTTTCTTTATTAATTATAATGTACCAGTTACAAATAAACAGTGTATAATCTTGAGTAATGTTGATTTATCGTATTTATATACCTATAACTGATAAAAACGAAATTTAAATACGTCATACTCATTTATCGACTACTGAGATACTATTATCGACGATAGAAATAGGAAACTATAATTTTAACTATTTAATTATTTGTGATTGTAAAAAGAAAATAGTAAGAGGATGTTGGATTATGCTTGATTTATAAAATATCTCGATATTGGAAATGGAAATGTCAACAATTACTTGAAATTTTATCGCTAGATGGTAACAAAGTATAAAACTGAATTTATAGATAATGTATATAAATTATAATTCTTACTGTGTATTTATGAAAAAAATGTTGGTTTAATAATAGTGATTTTTGTCAACACTAAAAGCTAATCGACAAATATCGAAGTACCAGTCATTAAAGAATATTTCAAGATCTAGACAATTTTCCATCACTCTAATATAAAAAGGTATTAAGATCGTTATCTCGGCAAAACAAATTCTATTCATAAACTCAATTGACTTGAACTTTCCAATCTGCTGAATTTATCTTCCGCAGCTTATTTCACAATTGTACTTGCTATCAGTTGGTAATTAAGTAATCTTGTATACGGCGAATTTCTATAATGTGCTATTTTCTGAAAAAAACTTTACTTCTTTTTATTTAAATATAAACAAAATCTCATTAAATTATATGAAACCTCAATAACGCCTTCAAACTCGGATATTTTTGAATCGAAAGCATTTCGTATCTAAATACTTCTGACAATTAATCATACAGTAATAAATGTTTAATTAAAAGCTAATATAAAAGTAAATAAAAAATAATCTTTCGGTATCGGTCGATCAATCGCTCGATAATCACGTTTAGACATACGATGGCTATATTTCCGAAGTGGACTGCAAAAAATGCTGTCAAAACGAGCGATAAACCCTTGTAATATAACACTAGAACGGCGGTAGCAGTTAAATGAAATATGACTAATGAATAAATAATAAGTTTTTTATTTATTTTTAATTTACAGATAAAAAATTTTTTATGCGCGGTAAAATTAACCGACTACCGGCATTCTACATCAAAAAAGCCATTTTAAAATGATTACGTTTCATTTTCGCTTCGCGAAACTTCCAAGATTGCCTTTATCGCGCTTCTAAGGAAGAGATGATAAGTGATCGCGTATCAGTTTGATAGTCGCCCGGTATCATGGTATCGGAAATAACTAGTGCACAACGGCACGAAATAGTTAGGTGAGAAGACCGATCGTTTCGTTCCAATGGAACTATCGCCCGTAAATTTATTATTATCGCATTGACGAAACACTGAACGTAAGTTGCGAACGTGTTCATAAAGTGAGGATATTCAAAAGAGAAAGAAAGAATAGTGTGTCACAGTGAAACATGCAACTAACATGGGCCAACATGACGTCCAGCGGCCGCCAGAGGCTGCGCACGCTTGCGGAAATTTTGCTGCCTTTGGGGATCGTCTGTGCCTTCGTCGGCGTAGGCACCGGGGGATATTACATCGGATCGCAGTATCATTGTCTTCCATGCGATATCTATCCCAAATCGAACGACTTGAAATCGAGAGATAAACTTCCGGCAGATTCGGTGGACGACAAATATATACTGGTAAATTGTTCAAGATTTATGCTGGAAATTTGCATTATGTGCTTGCAAAAATTCGCAGATATAGCAGCGACATAGTAATTGTTTTCCTTCAAGTTGCTTTTTAGATTTTAAATGTTGGCCATACTGTGTCGGAATTGATGATTCATATACCGTTAAAAATGAACTTAAAAATAATAGCGTTTCCGATAATAAATTTACGAATTTCACATGAAAATTTATAACCTTTCTTAATTTTTATAATATCAGTGTTGATAGTTCTAAAATATTTATAATGTGTTTCATATTTAATTATGCTCTTCTCAAAAAGTGTAAGAGTTGTCACATGTAATATTGAATGTTTTATTATATATAAAAGCACGATATATTTCGTTTTTAGGCAGACACTGATAGGATAAACTCCTCGGACAAAGCGAAATGTCTGCGGCAACTTATGGACGGTATAGAGAATAAGTATAATTTACTGTCGCGCGTATCAAATAATAATGCCGAGGAAAACCGATCGAAAGGAAAAACAGGACGAGAGCAGAACTCACTCCTTGCAAATTTTATTTTATCGAGCAGATAAGATATTATATACTGAGGAAAAAACAAACGGTGGAATCGATGAGATACCAACGACTTGTTCAACGAGTAAAATTCGCTCGAACTGACGTTTAGTCGATTCAACAATATATATAGTTGCTGCAATAAGTTATCATCAATTGATTCGATGATTGCGATTTAGTCATCAACTGTATCAACGAAACGTATTGCTATGTCCATGTGTGATTTGTTCGGAACGCGCAATACTTCTTTGAACGACCGCCAATTTTGTCGACCCAACTTCTTTCTTTCCAATGTATTGAAAGACAAAGTTACACGATAAGAGCTCCACGTGATAGAACACTGTTATTCGATACGAACATATTGTACAACATGATATTATTTTGAGAAATTAATATTTCAAGTTGTATGCAATTTTCCGACAATAGCTGCGTCGCACGTTCGACGCAGCTATTGACGGAAAAACTCGATAAGCGCGATGCGAATGAAGCTATCATAACTCTACCCGAGATAAGATCAATATTTTCCGTCTAAACAGAATCTGACTGAACCTTGATTACAAAGTGCACGTTGAGAGACATGCGTCTCAATTGTCCCGTTGCTTTTGTAACAGTTAGATTATTATTTTATTAAAAAACAATATTATTTACTTTAAAAGAAAAAGGAACAGAGTAATAGAAATATGTTTAATCAGAAAAATTTTCTATCGCTTTATATTTAACAATACATATTCGAAAACTATGTTACTTATACGATATATGGGAGCTTTCGACTTGTGCATTACTGTGAAAAAATAACCAAACAAGAAATTGTTACATTTTCATGTTACATATTCTAATTGTTACATATTTATGTTCCAAAGTCATCACAGTCGAACTCGTTTCGCGGACTAGCTGCATACCTGAAATGCAACATGTGGACCTGAATGTGGACAAAGATCCTTCAATCGTCGTGTTTCCGCCCTGTGCGAGAATCAAAAGATGCGGCGGTTGTTGCAGCAGCTCTCTGTTGTCTTGTCAACCGACGGCTACAAAGATAAGAAACTTCGAGGTATTTGATCATAGTCCATTTTAAGGTCATCCAAATTGGGCACAGTGTCTATTTAATACCGTCAATGTAATCCGAGCATCTCTGCATCCGGAATCGAAGCAGAATTTTTCTAACAAAGGACGATATTATGAAGATTTTGACCTATGAAGACGTTATAATCGAGAAAAAAATTTGCAAAATTTTCAACGTCCCCTTTCGCGTTGTTTGTTGCTTCAAGGTGAGCGTGTCGACGTTGAAAGGGGGGATCCGTCGAAACGTGTCTCTAGAGGAGCACGTTACGTGTAGATGCGACTGCAAACTCAAGGAAAAGGTAAATTGACGAGTACTCGATGCCTTCCTATTTAATTACTCCGGTTTGTGAACCTCACACTTCACGCATTGTCCCGTCGCATTATTCTTTACGCGAATGTAGTCGTCGACAGAGCGATCGACGTCAGTGATGTCATTTGACGCTACTTTTTTCAACGTAGGATTGCAACGAGAAGCAAAAGTACGATCCGGACAACTGTATGTGCGTGTGTGAAAATACCGACGAGGAGGACAAGTGCAGGCAAAACAAAGACATGAGGATCTGGAATCCGCATCTATGCGTTTGCTCATGCAAGAAGTTCGAAGAATGCAACTCCGACCAATACTTCGACACCAAAATATGCAGGTATGAGCTGACCGAATAGGGAGATCTGTTAAAGGAAAAAGACGTCATCCTTCTCAATGCACTCTACTAGCTCACCACTTGTAAATCACTTGTCCTGTCACGATAACTTTATGGCCTTTAATGCAATTTGGCAACAAATCATCATAACGTCTCCGTAATTATTCACACGTAACCGCAAATGTATTCCAGATGTCGGCCGAAAAAAAGCAGCTTCTAGGCTGCTAAACATATTCGCAACCACGAAAAGTTCGAATACGTTCGAATACAAGTTTGATAACGCCCGACACTCGAAAATATATCATAATCTCTTTGAATCGAGTCCAGAAGAAAACACAAGGAGAATCCGGAGTACAAGTGACACAGGAATTTAGACACGGAATATGGGACATTATAAGACTGCTAAGACACATTTATGTTGTTAGTCCCTACCATCAGAGTTGGGCGAGATCAATTTTGAGTAACGAAATAAAATTATTTATTTAACCTGAAGATTTATTTATATCGAACTTGATATAATAATATAATAATACTTGTTATAAAAAAGGAATGTTATAATAAAGGGATTCGCTATTAAATATAATAAATAGAATTCCATATTGATAAAAATAATAAGATAGAACAAAACCATTTGTGGTTTTGACGATATTATTTGTTAACACGTTCATTGCCAAGCTGAAAATTGGAATTTCGTATTTTTTTAATTTTTTAATTTAGTTTTTATTGTACTCAAAATAAGTTAATATATTATTTATATGCTTTTATTATTATATACATAGGATTTATGTACTCTAAATATCTATTACGTGATAACGCGTAATCGACCGTTTGGTGAGAACTCGCATCACGCGATATCGTGATGATTGGCAATGAACGTATTAAGGAATACATTTCTTATTCAATACATTCGTAATTAAGTAGAGAAAAAGGCGCGATTTTAACGCGGCAATATGACGTTTGCACGAAAAAGTTGGAATCTCCAATTTCTATAAGCGAGAAAAACGGAAATTAATGACGTCACACTTGTTTATCGACTATTGAGATACTGTTATCGACGACAGAAATAGAAAACTACTATTTTAATCATTATTTATGATAGAAAAAAAGAAATAAGAAAAAGGATGTTGGATTATGCTTAATTTATAAAATATCTCGAATATTGAAAATGGAAGTATCAACAACTGAAAATGTTATATTTATCGATAGATGGTAATAAAATATAAAATATAAAACTGAATTTATAAATAATATATACAAATTATCATTTTACTATACATTATATATATATATACTTATGAGAAAATATTATTTTAATAACTATGATTTCTATCAACATTAAAAAACAAATCGACAAATTCGTATTTTGTAAGACACATTTAAACGCGTATCATGTATTAAAATATTAATCATTATAGAATATTTCAAGATCAAGAATTTTCCATTAATCTCATTCAAACATGGTATTAGCGTTATCTTAACAGCGCGAATTCTTTCTACAAGTTCAATTAACTCGGACTTTCTACTCAGCTGAATTTACCTTCCGCAGCTTATCTCACGATTGTATTTGCTGTCAGTTGGTAATTAAGCAATTTTGTATCTGACAAATATACGCAGTGTACTATTTTCTGGAAAAACCCCATTTTTTAATTTAAATATAAAATTTTATTATTTAAATGAAAAAAAATTCTTGTTAAATCATACGATACCTGAATAACGCCTTTCAATCTCAGCTCAGGATATCTCCGGATCGATAGTATCTCGTATTTCCCGATGCTCTTGACGACTAGTCAAACAGCAATATAAATTTAATTTAATTAAAAGCTAACACTTGAAGTAAATGAAAAAGTAATTTCCCGGAATCGATTGCTCGATATCACGACGTTCAGAGATATAGGATGGCCATAAAAATTCCCGAAGTGGATTATAAAAAACGTTATCGGGATGAGCGATAAACTCCTCTCTCCTCTCCCTCCCTTTTTTTAATCAATACGTTTCATTTCCGCCTCGAGAGAGAGAGAGAGAGGAGAGATTCCCAAGGAAATCGGCTTTATCGGGTTTCTCGAAAGGAGCGATACGTTATCTCGCCGTGCCCCCGAGATATTCAACAGAGGCGTGACAGCGGCACCTGGACACCGTGACGTGCCGTGGCGGGCATGCTCGCGATACTAGTGTCCCTGTTGCGAGCCTCTCACGCGCCTACGCGCCAGGCAAGAAATACACGCGCGACGTGTCCGCTTCATCAGTCGATCGTGCGGCGCGGCCGCTCGGGGGAACGCTCAGGTACATATCAGTTTAATAATCGTGTCCGCAGTATCTCCTGATATCCATCGATATAAATTCTCAGAAGTGACCAAGTGCAAAGTGACACGAAATAACCAAGTCGCGAATACGGCCGGTCGTTCGGTTCCGACGACGAAACAATTGTCTATAAATGCAGTTATTACCGCACTGACGAAACAGACGCGAGTTTGCACGTGTTTATAAAGTGAGGGAATATCTAAAGAGAGAGAGAGAGAGAGGTGAAAGTATCGTATCGCGGTGTACCATGCGACCACGACGACTGGACGCGACGCTCAGTCGCCAGCTGCTGTGCTTGCTCGCGAAAACGCTACTTTTCGCCGTCGTCTGCAGCGGATTCATCGTGGGATCCGTCAGGGCTCAGTACTACGGCCTATCCGAAGACATAGTCTTCCCCGGGCCGATCAGCACAAAATCGCGGAACATGCCCGTGACGGGCAACGTGGGCGCCCACAATGCACCGGTAAGTTGCTGCAGATTGAGCTTTTCGATCCGGTCGGATGTCGGTAATGACAGGACACGCGGACGCTTTTCCGATCGCCGTTTCCCGCTGAAGGCCGTGCCAGCCAATGTCGAGGATACATCCCCGATGACATAACCGCGACATGATTAACGACGGGGGACGACACAGGCGTTTGCGATTCCCGGCACGTTATTCCGCGTGATACGTCAAACCGCATGTCACCGTGCATTTGTGCAAATACTTGGCAAATACTTGGCCGCCGTTTCTTTGACGGCGTTTCGCGCGGCGATTGAGGATACCGGGAAGGAAAGACGCGGGAAATCACCGTGAATGAAATCACCCGGAGGCACGTAAAGGACGTGTATCTCAGATAGCTTCGAAAAGTCGTCTTCACACGTTCCCGTCCAGTGCGCCCGCGATGGACCACCTTGAACTTCCCGTCCGGGCCGTTTGATATCTTGTCACTGAAGTTAAACGTGATCCCGAAGTACTTTGGGAATTCTAGCGAGACGCGTGCTACGTGAGCTGATAAAACTTGGCTCACAATATTTCAGACTGGGTCACGCGGTGTGGCCGACGTGTCACGTGAAATTGGTCCGGTGTGAAACGCGTCGAAAACGTCTGGTAGGTGTTCTGCGTCTTCAGACGTCTCTACGAGGACTTTTAGTCCAAACTTGCAGTGGATGTGTTAAGCCTTTCAGCCTTTTGCTCTAAGCGATAAAACGTAACGCAATTTCTGTTAAAAGGCGTTTCCCGCGCTGCGAAAGCTCGTAATAACACTGATATCTGAGGAACCGCAAAGTCTGGTAGCGCTTCTTGCTGGAAATCACGCTACAATTTAGCGCTTCGAGCGAAAGGTTAAAAAGACTTCCTACACACATTGCCGATCCGGCCTTGGCTGCTTTCGCTACCTGGGGATCGGCGGAACGGTCGATCGATCGATGAGAATTCGCTCGCTGTTTCACGACAGGTGAATCTCCGATATCGAGTCGCGCTAATAAAATCGTGCCGAGTGATTAGTTGGCGACAATGGCGACAACGGTAATTACAATATCGGCTGACTCAGTGGGAAAATCGAGGCTGCGTATAACACAACAGCGTAACGGCTCAACTAAGCGCCACGAGGCAACCTTGCTTCCTGGCAAGGTCGAAAGCGACGTTTGCTCGAGACAGCCGGAGACCCCGCGTGGTCCCAACTTATCGCGCGAGCTCCGCGCTCCGTGTTTGCGCTCGTTATCGCGCCGCGAAAGTCGCTCGTACCTTCGGATTTCGCGCGATCGCAGCGACTAGATGTGAATCACGATTGGCTATCGGCGGCGAGCGCGACGTCCGCGGTAGCACCTCTCGATTATGCAAATCGTGAAAGGCGCGCAACCTGTTTCCCAATTCCTGCGAGGCTACGCATCCTCAGCTGCTCGTGTCACTTGAGGAAATATTTTCCTCGAAATCTCGGTTCCCCGGGCGCACGATAAAACGACCGCAACGAGCTGTCAGTCTTGTCAACGCGGAGACGTGTGCGTGCTTCTGAGGAAAGCACGTATATATATATATTTTTTTTTTTATTTTTTTTTTGTTACATAAATTTATATATATTTATATATTCCGACCGATCGACGTTGCTGTACAAGTCTTTGTCTCCGCGAAACGAGGGAGTGATTTAACGCGTCGCGACGCGCAAAATATTTGCGACTAATGGTAGACCAATATTGAACACCCCAGCTACTCGTTAGATAGCTAAGTGAGTTGTTTGCTCTTTTCTTCGCCTGCTTTATATAGTATAATATAGTCTCTCCAGAACCTGTTTGCATCGCGATACCGAAGCTATAGGCGACTTCGCACTTCCACTCGAAGCAGTGGCTGTCAACGGCTAACACAGAAACGACGAATTACGCACCCTCCGGGCTTACAGAGTCGCGTGCTACACTTCACACGGGGAGATATCTTTCGTTTTTTTTCCGCGTCGAGTTTTATCCGATCGAAACGTCGACGGTTCTTAAGTTACGAACGACTAAAAATAAAGAGCTTCTTCGGTTACTTGGTCTTGCAGGCGCGTGACGAAGAATGCATCATTTATCAACGCCTTGACGCGTTAACACGTTCATTGCCAATCACGCGATATCGCGTGATATGAGTTCTCACCAAACGGCCGATCACGCGTTATCGCGTGATAGATATTTAGAATACATAAATCCTATGTACATAATAATAAAAGCGTATAAATAATATATTAACTTATTTTGAGCACAATAAAAACTAAATTAAAAAATTAAAAAAATACGAAATTCCAATTTTCAGCTTGGCAATGAACGTGTTAACATTTGTCTTGTTGTTTCAAGTGTAAATAACGTGAGAGAATGTAGTTGGGAAAAATACTGCCATTTTCTAGAAAACGTTTCTCTCTCTCTCTCTCTCTCTCTCTCTGTCACTTCCTTTTTAATGTAATTTTATTTTATTCTTTCTTATAACGTCGGTTCGTTGACCCGCAGTCAGAGATGATTTTCACTTTAGTCATACGAAAATCCGCGATCGAACGGGATGATTCACGGATCGGTTACTCGCGGGAATACCCTGGAATACCGCAGGATTCTGTTTGACATTTATCCTTTCGCTCAAAATTTATGCGATTGCACTTTGCAGGGAAACTTATATCGGTAATCGCAACCCATTACAATGTATTATCTCTCCGCCTGGCGATCAACACAATTCAAAGTCTATCACGTCTCACGCGCGTGGGATTAAAATGATCTTGGAAAATTATCATTTTACATTTTTCATGTGCATTAAATCCCCTCCCCCCCCCTCCTCCCCCTGAAACAGCCGTTGCAGGAAAATCAGCAACCTCGCGGAAATGTAAAACGCTCCCTCGTTGTGTTCTCTGTATAAATTTTATAAATGGCGTCCGATTTGTTTCTCATTCAATTCACTTTTATCCATTTTATCCACTTTCACATTTTTATATTACATGTCTTTGATATCAGGGCTATTTTTTACGTATATCAAATCTCAAGCGTTTTCACGAATAGAGTTTCAAAGAGCGGCTTTTATCTCCGATCTTCCATCGATTTTCTCAAGTCCGCTCTTTTGCGCAGATACCGATATCGGTAATCACACTTATGACGCATCGTATCGGATTTCGATTATTCTCCGACTGAAATTCATTTTAAATGAACCGTTAAAATCCATCTATTATATTCACATTTATGATTGTACGAGTGGTATTCGTCGAATGTTTTTTTCGTAAACAGAAATCCGTTTCGAATTCTATCGCGAGTGCCATAGGATTATATGTTACATAATACACTTTCTAGATTTCTTAGAGCAAAATTTTACTTAACCTCTTCAGGGATATTGACACATATATGTATGTTTAATTTTATTTAAAAATTATCGTTATTTATAATTACAAAAATTTTTGAAATTTAAAGATTAAACGTTATCAAAGTAGGTCATGATGGCTACATGTCAAAATCGGTTCGCAAATAAGGTATCTTTGTTTTTTGTGCACTCCATTAGAGCAGATTATAAATGAAAAATTTAAAATTCATCCCTGAAGAGGTTAACTCACAAGTTTAATCAATTTAACTTAACTTCAGGGAATTAATCGAAAACGTTCTCTCATTAGAATGTTGGCTGCGTTCCGAATTACATCGAGAAAAAGTGTTCAAATCGTATTGAAACCAAGCCAATCACAAAAAGTTGCGATATCTTTTTATAAATTTCGAAACACATGCCGTCTTCAATAGGAGAATTTGTCCTTCAGCAATTTTCAAGAGATATACTTTCCTTTTGGATATAAGATGCGTTGCGAAACTCACTGGGAAGAAAGTGTTGCAACCTTTTTGTGATTAATCACGCATTCGTTTGCACAACGGTATATATTTTTTTCTCGATGAAGTTAGGAACGCATCAAATGATCATGATTGCGAGCCACTGAATTCACGAGTTTGCCTGATAAAGGGTCATGATAGGAGCCGAGGTAGCAATACGCAGTGTGAATATTCATCCTATATTGTATTTCTATATATATCTGATAGGTAATTAAGATATAATTAAAGATAATAAAAATTATAATATTAAGATGCTTCTCTCAACATTCTATCGGAGAAAATAGAAACATAAATTCAAGGAAAATTCACGCTAATCGATTGAAACATTAACTCATAAGAAGCCAGACTTCAGTCTAATCTTCAGTAAAATACTCATCCTTGCGATCCCGAGTAATAATATTTTCACTATCGTTTGGAGTGAATTTTCGCTCGTTTCGAGTGAGAATTAACTCCACGAAATTTAAAGAATATATTACTACACTTAATATTGTATATTACTACACAGGTGGCGGAACAAAAGCACGATATATTTCGTTTTCAGATATCGCGCGCGTTAGCCTCCAGGATAAACTCCATAGACACGATAGAGGAATTTCTAGAGTTGCTTCAAGGTGTTCCGGAGATCGAGAAGACCGTCCTTGTTAGTAAGTATAATTTTAACTGCCGCGCATATCGAATAATGTCGGGGAAAACCGATCGAAGAGAACGAGATCAGCCGAACTCGTTCGTTGCGAATTTTATTTCATCAAGCAGATGCATTATTATACACCGAGGAAAAAAAAAAATAAACGACAGAATCGACGAGATTTCGACAAACGAGACGGATGAGACTTCAATGAAACTTGTTCAACAACAATGACAAAATTCGTTCGGGCAAACGTTTAGTCGATTGAACGAATTACACAGTTGCAGCAACGAATTGTCATCAATTGATTCAATGCTTGCGATTTAGTCATCAACTATATCAACGTAAGGTGTTGTTGCGTCGACGCGTGATTTGCTCGTTACACGCAATATTTCATTGAACCAGGCCGACTGCCGATTTTGCCGATTTAAACGTTTTTTTTTTCCGCAATGCACTGCGGAAAAACAAAGTTACACAATGGAAACTCGATCTGCGATCGAATACTGTTATTCGATACGAACACATTGGACAACAATGTGGATATTATTATGAGCAATTAATATTCCGAGTTGTACGCAATATCGCACGACCCTGTGCACGTTTGTCGCAGCTATCATCGGAATAATGCTCAGTTAGCGTGATGCAAATAAAGCTACCGCGACTGCATGAGATAAGATCAATATTTTCCGTCTAAACAGAAACACTGATTAAATCTTGATTATAAAGCGCATGTTGATTAAACGGTGCGTCTCATTTGTCCCGCTGCTTACACAATATAACTTAGATTATTATTTTATATTTAAAAAATTCATATTTTAACTTATAATCTATTTAAAATATTATTTAACTAAAAATTAATAAATTAACTCAAGAAAGAAAAAACAGAGAGAGAGAGAGAGAGAGAGAGAGAAATGTATTTATTCGCAAACTTTTGTTTACATTTTCTGTTGCATATTTAAAAATTATAAATTACTGTGATGTGGAAGCTTTCAACTCGTATATTATTGTAAAAAATAAATAAGGAATTGTTAAATCACGGTTCGAAAATTATCGGAGTACTACCCATTTCACATTCGATTCGATGATTTAGTTCAATCCGACACGTCATCGTATTTTCGCTTCTCTTCTTATCATACGTGATAAGATCTCTGTTTAATCTACCTGAAAATTTGTTCAGGTAAACTCGGCGGGAACGAGGAACGATCGAACGCGGAGCGGACGCAGCCGGCAAAGTGCATACCTGAACTGAAAGCCGTGTCCCTGAAAATGGACAACGATCCTAAGACCATTGTGTACCCATCTTGCACGAGAATCAAAAGATGCGGCGGTTGTTGCGCTAGCGCTTTGTTGTCTTGTCAACCAACGGCCACAGAGACGAGAAACTTCGAGGTAATCGCTCATAGTAATTTTTTGAGGTCATCCCAACTTGGGCACAAGTGCCTATTTAGTGCTGTCAGTCCGGATCATTTCTGTACCCGGAATCGAGACAGAATTTTTTTTTTTTTAATAAAGAAAGATATCCTGAAAATTTGGTATATCGCACACGAGGGGAAACATATGCAAAATTCTCAACGTCTCCCTTTCGCGTTGTTTCGCTGCTTCAAGGTGGTCGTGTCGACGCTGTCACTAAGCTACCGGGGCCGGCAAATCGTGCCTCTGGAGGAACACACCGCGTGCAAGTGCGACTGCAGAATCAAGGAGGAGGTAATTTGACGGCGACCGATAATTGACGGGTAATCGGTGCCTTCCTGCTTAACCGGGGCTGCTCCGGTTCGCGAGCCTCACACCTCGCGCATCATCCCGTCGCATTGTTTCTCACGCGAATATAGCCGGCGATAGAGCGATTGACGTCAGTTATGTCATATCTCCGACTAGCCTGAAAGGAACACGGAGTGTTCTGCGAACCGGAATGCGTCTGAAAACAAAAGCGAGAAACTGTTCGATTCGTGCGCATCTTCGTCTCACTCGTTTTCTATGCGCTGTTATTATAACACGGATATTTCTATACCCGGGTGCATTCGTTCGTGTTTTTTTACTGAAGAATCCCAAGTATCGCGCGCCGAATGATTTCTTTGACGTTGTTGCGCGGAAATAGCATAATGACATGAAAATTTTCAATCTTGAATTTGCTTCCTTTCACGATTTTACGTTGAGAAATGCAAGATTCACTCACGTTCCTTCGAGTATTACACGCAGAATCGCAAGTTTCACTCGCCGAATGATTTCGTTTTCTCTCGAATAATACTCCTCGGCTACTTAAACCCGAGGGTACCGTCCAGACACCCGGATAATACCCGAAAGACGAAGGTACTTGAGTAATTCGAAAAACCGGAGTAGCCGGGTGATACATTAAAGAGATGAGTACTCGGATATGCGACTAGTATTTGAAAACGCGGGTTACCTGGGTAACTGAGTAACGCACGAAAGACATTAGTATCCGAATACTCGAGTGATGTCGGCAAGTTACCCGAACGCACCCGACGGAATTTGCACCACTTTCGAATAAGGCACGCCAATTTTCGTTCACTCGATCGTTTTTCTCGTCGATTAGTCGTTTTGAACGGCACTTTTTTGCCGCAGCATTGCAGCGAGAAGCAGCACTACGACCCGGACAATTGTATGTGCGTGTGCGAAAATAACGACGAGCGGGAGAAATGCATGCATGACAACGACACGAGGATCTGGGATCCGGATTTGTGCACCTGCTCGTGCAGGAAGATCGAAGACTGCAACACCGGCTACTACTTCGACCACAATACGTGCAGGTGTGAGCAGAGAGAGTAGGGGGATCTGCTAAAGGAATAAGGCGTCTTCCTTCTCAATACTCTACTATTTCACCACTTGTAAGCCACACGACACGCGCTCCTAATCGCACCAATTTGCTCTGTTTCGCAATGCGACCGATCGATTCCCATTGGCCGTTTTGATCGCTTCGAATTCCGCACAAATCCACCCAAGTCTCGCTTCCTCTCGCGCCCTCAGCGCGCCAATCAGATTCAACCTTCTCTTGTCACGCGCACCTCGTGTTTTCGTCCTCGCGTTTCTTCTCCTATTCCTCCACTTCGCTTCGGCTTGCTGGGGTGCTGTGATCGTTGGTTGGTGATATATTGTTCTATCGCACCGGTTTCACGATTTATACGCAATTTGACAACGAATTTGGCAACGTTCCCCGTAATTATTCGCACAGTAACTGCAAATGTGTTCCAGATGTCGACAGATAACGTTCTCTAGACCGGTAAACAGATTCGCACCCACGAAAGGTTCGAATTACAATTTCGATAACACCCGGCGGCCAGAAAACGCGCCGCCCGTGATAATCCCATTGGACGCATCGGATCCCAGAAGAAAGCCCAAGGAGGATCCGGAATACAAGTGATACGAGAGATTCAGACACACGGACTACAAGACTGCTAATACACTCTTTGTTGTTAGTCTCTCTGCCATCAGGGTTGAGTGAATTTCATTTCGAGTAACGGAATCAAAGTAACGGATTCTACCGAGAAGATTTATTCAGATCGAATAACGCAGAGATTCTCGTATTCTCTTATTTCACTGTGTGCTTTGCGCATTCTCGCATTAGAATTTACTATAATTTAGAATTATTCGAAGGACATTTTGTTACTTGTTTGTTATAACTTTTGGTCGGAAACGAGTGTGTACGCTCAAAACGATTCAAATAGAATATCATTGACGGTCGCCTTAGCGGACCTTCGAAATAGTATTTATTATTTTAGTAGAAAAGAGGATATTCCCTTTTCCCTCATTCTTATTTTATTCATAAATGTGAAAATTTGTACTCCCATATGAGGAGGCTTTATTCGAATTTTTCTTTCAAGTTTATTCGAGATGTCTAACTTTGTCTGTTACGTAAACGAATGTTTTTATTCGATGTCTCTCGGAGCTGGAACAGCTGATTATCATACTCAACATGTTGCATTTTCAGGTAGATTTGTGGTTCCATCTTCTCTTCGTGTCACAGAGCAATACGAACTGTTTCACTTCCAAGGTGCTATTTTGTTGTATTATTGCATATGTTTACTATTTGATGAAGATTAAGGGGTCGTTCGATGTATGTAAAAAGACAATCAGTCGTGAATATCGGCCAGTACTATTTTTTTATATCATAAAATTATTGTTCTTTACGAGAACTATTGTATATTTAGCTTTATATTATAAAATTATTGCTCTTGTATTTATACGCTTACAAGAACGAAATGATACAAGAACCGGTCAATATTTGTTTTATATATCGCCTGAAAAGTTTATCGGTATCCCAATTACAAATAATATTTCAGTTTACTGTGCGCTTTATATTTTCCATTGTTAGAGTTTTACAATGATAAAATGTATTTTCCTAATTGTATATTGCGAATTATAACACTATATATGTACGCATTATATAATTCCATCATCATATTTTGTGAAATCGTCGTCTATTTGGTCTGAGGAAATGGGAAAATTTGTCATAAAATGTTAAATATGCTTTAATAATAAGATACGTATGGTAATAAATTTGATAAGATGTTACATATTTTGCACTGTTCTGTTATGTCGCATATATTCAAGTGAAGAGTAATTGTACATAAAAATCTTAATTGAATTTATTCATATTAATTGTACATATATCGTAACTAATTCATAATTCATTCATACTGTATCATTAAGTCTTTTTTAACATTACACGCGAGTCATACTGCGTGTATGTGTAAATTACGAAATGGTTGTATATACGGAGCTTATTATATATGTAATTTAATCTATATTTAATTTCCCCTCGCGCTTCTCTATATTTCGCAGATGTAGAACAACCGCTTTGTTTATTCTCAAGATCTCGCTGTAATGCCCGCTCATAGATTTGACAGACTTCGCTATGTGATCTACGGGAGGAAAGGAAAAGAACAAAATTACGCTTGATCACAAATTACACTTATGTGGATTATACTTCAAAATAGAACACTGACATTTCCGCTGAAAACAACGCTTTATCGCACACTTCCTGCAGGCAGTTTAGCTAAAACGAACAAACTTCGTATTGGGAGCGCTCCTGTTATATCGACAGAAACTCTACTCCCAACCTAGCCTGACGGTGAATTGGCGGTAGAAACTGTCTTAACCTAACTTAACCTCAATGTCTACTGTACATTCTATATACGTCAACACCTACCTACAGAAGACGCGATGTCCATGATAGTTGACTCTTTCGTTGGTTTGAATCGTTTAGCCCGTTGCTCCATTGCTTCATCGTGGTTGTCGCTATCTTTTACCATATTCTCGTCGAGCTGAGGCATTTCTCGCGCGTCCCGTATAATCGCGTTGACGCTCGTACTACGAGGTTAGTCAAGAGCACACTTGTATAGAGATTAATTTCAACATACACGTCGATAAAAAGCCACAAGATGAAACGAAAAGATTTGTGGTTTGGCAATATTATTTATCAAGGAATATATTCCGTATTTAATGCAATTCGTAATTAAGAGGGGAAAAAGTCGCGCTCTCGATGAAGCAGCGATTGCTTCTTGTTTAAAAGCGCGAAACTCTCTATATACTGAAAGAAAAAGTGGCAGAACCAATAAAATTCGTTTGAGCAAATATTTAATTCGGCAATTATTGTGCAATTATGATGTATTATTTAAAATATGTTTTAAGTACTCATTTGCGTATACATTAATATTATAAGATTCGTTTGAAATTCCAGACAACATTCTTATGTGAATAATTATAGTTTCCTCTTGTAAAAACAATTAAAATTTCACAAAAACCTATACGATTGATTTATATATCGGGCGATAATCGAATAATCGGCCTGGAAAAGACATTCGCTTATTCGGTCGCAATTACCTCGGCACGATTTTCGTTTTCTACCTTTTCGTACACGATCCTGTGAATTCGATAATTACCGTCGCACATTTTTTTTGTAAATTTTTTTTTGTACGCGTCATCCTTGAACGTGAAAATCAACTTTTTTCCGACGTAACGCACGATGGGCAAACATACGTCCGGATTCTCCTTCGCTACATCGGCCTCGAAATCTTTCAAAAAATTATTACGATCCCTCGCATAGTTTAAGGACTTCAAGTAACCGCCGAAATTGTTCACGTCTGGTATCAATCTGTTGCTGGTTTTGATTATTTCCTCTAGAGTCGGTCGTTCGCTCTGTGATCGCATCGACGCGTCACGTCGCGTCTTCATGTCGGTCTTGGATGTTTTATATTTTTTAGTCAAAGGAGCATGTCCGAACGTACAATGAACTCCCGAATGTTCATCACCGTTACGATGTGAATACGCGATTTGTAGTTTACACTTATGTACCCAGTGGCTGACCTTCAACGATGTCCAATGATATGACCAGGGATCTACGATTTAATGGACGATGATTATTTCGATTTATCGATTATATGAAGAAACTTAGTTCCGTAAATATATTTCGACAAATTGTAAAGCGGCTATAACTAGAACCGTAGAAACGGATTTACATCGGCTCTTCTTCTTCCAAAAAATCGAAACATTTCTATAGTTATTGCTTTCTATCGGTTGTATACACGAGATATCAACGTTTACTTCAAGACGATTTAGGCCGATAAAGTGTAACAATATGTACGAAAACGTAACAATACAGTTTTTCTGCGTATGCCACCGATCTTACCTTCCTGTACGACTCTTTCTGTAAATCTGACTTCTCCGTTCGCCACTATGTACTTAATCGTGTCTGTTTGTGCGCGAACAGTCCGGTCTCCTTGACCGCGCTCTCTCTTGATAGGTTTGACGGTTGATGCCATTTCCTCTTCCAATTTTGGCTCATTAATGTTCCGTTGGATCTCTTCGTTGACGACCGACGTAATCTCGGGCTCGTGGAGATTATCCGGCGGATCGTTTTCTTTATTCACCTTGCGAACGTCCGCCTCAATGTCTGCTTCGCTTTTCTTTCGTACCGTACGATCGATAATTTTGACCTTATCGAGATATTTTACGGCATTGTTGTACAGTTTCAACGTTTGAATCTTCTTTCGCTTCCTCGTGTCGGCTTCGGGATTTACTCTTTCGATACCAGTCACCTGATCCAAGGTGACCTTTCGTTTACCATGCAGAGAACGCGGGCCTCTTCATCGAAAGTAAAAATATTGGAATAAATATTTTTGTAAAATGTAAAAATATCGAAAATATACATAGAAAAGATACTAATATAAAAACGTGTATTAATAAAAAAATATAAGATAGTTACATGTGCTGATATAAAATATATACATTACATTTCTGTCTGAAAGTGACTTATACGCTAATAAGTTTTGCTCGATCAACACGTTGTGATGCTCTGTTACTTATTCTAATATTCTTACCGATCGCGCTGCTTCTTATCGCAAACAATAGCCGAGACTGGCGTAATTTCTGTGAACACGTGTAAAGTCCTTATTTTATCAGACTTGATAAAAGTGGTTACGTTTTTCTTCCCGTTGATCTTCTTTCCAAACCAGTCAAGCATCACATTTTTCGCAAGATGTTTTTGGAAACCGGGAAGAATGCCGTCGACCAAAGCGAAATAATATTCCGTGAATGAGATCGCTTGAGCACGTTCGTCGAGCATTTTTGTACTTAAAAAAAGTCAGGAATACTTCGAAAATATAACACCGATCCAATATTTCTAATAATTTTTGCTTATTTTTCAATATAAGCGCTATATGCTTCAGTGATGTAAAAAAACATGAAATTATTACTTCATAACTGGAAGAGCAAATATTATCCTGTTTGCTGTTACTTTACTCGCACTTACATCATAACACAAAACATTCGCACAAAAACAAATAGATGAGAACATCACCAACACATCTTATCAATTTATGTATATATTTGAAAAAGTTAAATAATTTCGTATCAATTTAAAAATCTACGTTTCATTTTCTCAAAAGAGATTGACAAGGTATTAGATTTGACACTGAGAAAAATCTGCGAGAGATCTTATCACTGAGTAACCTACAGAATAATCTCAATATACAGAATAATCTCTACGGAATAAGCTCTATGTTTATATATCACCGATGTTTGTGTTTCAGCAAAGGCTGAAACGTTCACACGAAACATTAAGGTCCTCTTACAATAAGTCTAAAGTCTTTTCAATATTGATTACGCACGCAAAATTGCCTGTATATAATTCAATGTCAGATCGGATGAATTCTTATTTCTCAATGCAACAGAAGTCTATCGAATCTATTGGAATGGTTTAAACAAACTAATGCTTCAATCAATAAATACTATTGTTCGATTTTCAAACAAATTTTATTGTTTGGTCAAACCAAATTGTTTTAGGCCAATTTTTCATTTTACTTAGAAAATTTGATCAGTTTGTTTAAATTGTTTCAAGAAATCTGATATTTCTTTGATCACATTACTGTCAATCGATCTTTTTCACCTCATCGTGTTACTCATCTTTATCCTGTGTATGGTCATCTATTTTTTTAGTAAACACAGTATCTGTTGTTTAATTTCAATGATTGAGCTGATGATGCGCTTTGATGATATATATATATGTCCTTATGACTCATGATTATAATAGCAGATTTTTAAATCGTTGAGAAAACGTTATAATATTTATATTTATTAACATATTTACTAGCAAACATTGAAAAGAATGCAACAACAACCAAACAAATATGTTGAATAAAACGAGAACTAATGATTATAAGATAAAAGATACCTTTAGATTTTATCAAAACATTATGTAAAGTGTCGATTAGTTTTTTCGTTGTTGTATCTCTTGAAGTCTCTTTTCGAAATCCTGCTAGGGTTTACATTTGTGTAAACTGTTATCTTTATACAACGCAATTTTCTTGATGAAGACATCAACAATTGTACTTTCATGTACCTATTATTGCAGATCATATTCTGAAAGCATATATACATATATTACATAAAAAATGCACACAAACTACACAAACAACAAAAAAACACAAAAATGTCGAATGTATAAATACCACTTTACAAACGAAATTATCTTCTACTTCGAAAATTAAAGAAAGATTTGTTGAATATGTATTACTTACATATTCAATATTTATAAAGTACTCACCGATAAAATGATACATTGATGTGATTTCTTTCTGATGCAAAATGTAAATATGCATATATTATATGCCATTAAATATGAGATGTCCGATTTCGAATTAAAAGTTTGGTTCATCATATCTCAAACAAGAAGCAGTACAATTAATCAAAGTACGCGTCTAAATTATCAACACAGTTTTGCCATCTTAACGGTAGCTTGTTTATGTCGGCAACGAAGAAGCCTGGAAAACGAATGGCTAGGAAATCGCGAATGGTGATTTCCGCAGCTTGTTGAGAATTGAATATTTTTTTCCTGGCAAGAAGTGGTCAGTCAGTTGGTGCAAGATCTGATGAATACGGTGGGTGAGAACAGAGAGTTTCCAAGTTTCCAAGTCCAATTCCTGTAGTTTGAGCAGCGTTGTTTGTGCGACATATGATCGAGCGTTGTCTTGCGAGAGGATTGACCTGTCTCTATTGATCAATCTCGGCTGCTTAATCACAAGTTCCCTTATCATTTCGTCCAATTGGTTGCAGTAGACATCCATTGTATTCGATTGATCAGGTATCACGAAGCTGTAGTGGATAATATCAGCGCTGGACCACCAAATAGACATTATTAGCTTTTCTTGATGAATATTCAGACTGTGTTTCGGCACTTTATCTTTATCCAACCACTGTACCGAATGCTTGCGATTGTCGAAAAGAATCCAGTTTTCATCACACGTAACAATACGATGTAGAAATGATTCGCCTTTATGTTCTGACAGCAAAGAAAGACAAACTTCGAGACAATTTCTCTTCTGACGCTAGTTTAATTCATGCGGAACCCATCTATTCAGCTTCTTAACTTTGCCGATTTGTTTCAAATGGTTCAATATTGTTGGAATAGTAACGTCAAACCTTGTTGCTAATTCACGTGTAGTTTGAGATGTATCCGCTTCCACTACAGTTTTCAACACATCATTATCCACCTTAGTCTCGGGTCGCCCACGTGGCTCATTTTCAAGATTAAAATCGCCAGAACGGAACTTCTCAAACCATCAACGTACTGTACGTTCATTAGCCGCATCCTCGCTAAACACGTCGTTGATATTTCGAGCTGTCCGCGCTGCATTGGTCCCACGGCGGAATTCATATTCGAAAATAACACGAATTTTTGACTTATCCACGGTTTCACAAAAAGTGATCTGAAAAAGGTAATTCGAAAGATAATCACAAACCATAACGTGCATTTGGAAGAGTGATGATGTACCTTCACAATAAAAACAAGAAAGAATTGTCGAAGTGAAATGTCAGAGATATCGACTTTCAAATTTAGTAATCTTAATATGAAGTAGACGTTTCATATTTAATAATCTAATAACATGCAAATTCACAAATAAAAACAATTCTTATTTTATATAAATATTATAAATAAGAAGGCACTATTGTGTTGTTAAGTGTTTTTTGCGTCCGCTTTTTTAGAACTTGCTTTTTCATCATCACCTGGAACATATTTTATTTAAATTAACTGTATTTGATAAGATAATTTTTATGTACCAGACATGAAAAATAAATAACTTTCTTACAATCCTTATATATTGCAACTAACTAATAACTAACTAATAAGAGAATCAATCAATTCAATTGTAATGTAGTTAAATGATATTGTTCACATAGTTTCTTACTCGTGTGACAGTTCTTGTTACCACTACAAATAAGTTTTCTTTTTTTTAAATCGAGGATCATCCCTTGTAACGCGTTCACTTTTTTCTTTAAACGGGCAATTACTCCCTCGTAGGATTTTAATTTATTTCTCGATTTTCTTAAATAACTATGGAATATGAACCAACTCGCATCTGAAGTAAAATCTTCCCGGCATAGATCTCCAGCAAACCTTGGATTTTTAATACGCCTTTTCTTCCTTTGAGGATTATCCATTTCTTTAAAACTAAAAAAGCAGTCTTATTAAACTATTTTATTCCTATAATAATATTAATCCTATGATAATATTACTAGGTGTATGAATCAATTCGTGCCCCTTTTTCGCAAACTTCGACTTTATTTTTCAATAAGATGAATACATTAATTAATCATTAAAATATTCTCCGTTAACATCGATGACCTTACACCATTTATCAGGCAACTTTCGGATTCCATCGCGATAGAAACTTGGTGGTTTTGAAGCGATGAAGTCATCGACGCAGTTCCGAACGTCTTCGATTGAGTCGAAGTGTGTATCCGATAAGGAGTAAAATAATATAGACTTCTTTCTTGTCTATCCATTTCAAGTCTGACAAATTTTTCGAAGAACGAAAAGATACCTCTCCTTTTTTCAATTGATCATCAATCTTTGGCATTCCTCGTCGTCTTCTTCTTATAGTCCCGCATGCATTTGTACACTTGCTGTATAATAAGTTAAATAATGCTGGACTCGAATAAAAATTATCCACGTAAAAAGTGTTGCATCGACCGAAACAAGTGATAGTCCAAAGGGACTATTGTCTGGCGAATACGTCGCGTGAGAAAGAATTTCCCAGCCTAAGTTTAAGATAGTTTCTTTTGTGGTTTCTGCTATGTGCAGCTTAGTGTTGTCATGCAGCAAGATGACCTTACGATTGCCTTATCCGATAAATGGCTGTTTTTCCTCAATTGCATCGCTCAAATGGACTAACTGTTGTTGGTAGAGCTCTGCTTTAATTGTCTGACTTGATTCGAGGAGTTTATAATACAGCACACCTTTCTGGTCCCACCATATACCAAGAAGAACCTTCTTGCCAAAGCATTTAGGTTTTGCTGTTGATGTCGTCGGTTGACCAGGATTTACCCATGATTTCTTGCATTTACTATTATCGTACATAAACCACTTTTCATCGCCAGTTACGATTTTATGCAAAAAATCCTTTTTTCATACTCTGCTGAACAAAGAAATGCACACGACGATCAACCGACGATTTTTGTTGTCGGCGGTCAGTTCATGTGGAACCCATCTTCCTTCTTTGTGAATTTTTCCTGGTGCAATCGAACCGTTAATTACGTCACTCCAAGCTTCTCGGCAAGTTCTTTCTGTGTTTGAGCCAGGTTCTCCTCGAATAGCGCCTGCAGTTCATTGTTTCCAAACTTGCGAGGCTGCCCAGTACGTGGTTGATCATCAACACTGAAATCACCGTCTTGAAAATAACTAAACCATTTTCTGCGTATTCTTTCACTCACTGCGCCTTCTCCGTAAGCGGTACAAATTATTTTGGCTGCCTCGGGAGCGTTTTTATTAGAGATTAAACGCAAAACCCATGCAGTGTCGAATATGTTTTTTATCGTAGGTCATGATGTTTACTGCTGATTTTTAAGGTTATGTGGCTTAACCGTTTCGGTACGAGCGCTCTGTCCGCCGTGACAATCCCGCTGTACGAGGCGCCTCTCCGAAAATGCACATATAGCGCATGGTCAGTCCTCTTTTGTATGAAGATTTTCCTAAGCGTTAAATATGAGCTGTGCTTGATAAAACAATGTTTCTTCTAACAAGTGTCGTTTATAGTTTTAATATTAAAAGACATTTATATACAATTCTATCAATTATATAAGTAACACTAGAAGAATTACAGTTCACATATTTTTAGATAGATATTTATATTCTTACAGACAATACGAATAATCGTTTATTACAATTAGTAGGAAACACAAATTAGATAATATATTAATATACGTATAACGGCTAGTAATGTAATTGGGTGTGGTATATTCTAAAACAAGGATCTATACATAAACCAACATTACAATCTTTACATTCATATCTTGATTCCGATCTTTTGTCATGTTTGCTACAAACTACACATCTTCGGCTCCGGTTCTTTCCTCTTGGCATACTCGTATACAATGAGGGAAAATGCCTCTCTGTTAACCTCATGGGATTATCAGTATCTCTTCTTTGATTTTTGATATAATCGTGATGATACTTATCGATTATTTCCTTTATCAATTGCAATTGAAACTTTGCCATGGATATGGTTTCATTATTTTTGTGCTTATAAAGACAATACGCATTCCACACACAAATGTCAATTAGATGGAAAAAAAAATCCCGGTACCATTTCAACGATTTACGCGTTGAATCGACAGTACTTATTACCATATCCACTTTATCTCCTATACCCATTGAATTACTGTAATCCGCAACACATACAGGCTTTTGCAGAATCTGTTTTCCTCCGTATCTGGATATTGTCGTGAAATCTGCAGTATGCATAGTTGAAATAATATAGACTTCTTCCTTGTCTATCCATTTCAAGGCTAACAAATTTTTCGAAGAGCGAAAAGATACCTCTCCTTTTTTCAATTGATCATCAATCCTTGGCATTCCTCGTCGTCTTTTTCTTACAGTCCCGCATGCATTTGTACACTTGCTGTATAATAAGTTAAATAATGCTGGACTCGAATAAAAACTATCCACGTAAAGGGTATGGCCCTTTCCTAAATACGGCTTCAAAAGTGCTAAAACGATTGCTCCCGATTTTCCAATTTCCTTGATTTCACTATCCGGAATTGTAGATGATCCAGCATAAACTATTATGTCTTGCACATATCCGGTTTTACAATCGCAAAGAATAAACGACTTTAAGCCAAATCTGTTTCTTTCTGACGGAATATACTGCTTGAAAGATAGGCGGTCTTTGTATAAAAATAAACTATCGTCTATACAGAGTTTTTGATAAGGCTGAAATGCTGCATTGAATGATTTTCGCAGCATATCGATTATGTTTATTATTTTTGTTAGGCGATCACCAATGCGTCCAGGTTTATGCAAGAAATGTATCATTCGTAACAGCAGAAAGTAACGGTCTCTGGTCATTATTGTTCTAAAAATATCGTTCCGTAGAAAATTATCTGTGCTCCAGTACTCTTTTAGTGATAGATTTTTGTTGCGTGTCATCAGTAACGACATGGCGAAGAAACAGTACAATTCGTTTAGCGCCGTTGTTTCGAGAGTATTCACGTTGTTATTATTTTGTCGAGCCCAATGATAGTTCGTCTCATTTACAATTATTTCTACGAGCTCTTCAGATATAAATAATTGAAAGTAATCGATGATTTTTGATGATCTGCATATTTGTTTAGCGATTCCCGAATTTTCTGATGTAAACTGATGAATTTTTGGTACAAAAATCTTTTTCGTCCATGTTATATCACAATTCGTATCATTGGATCCTTCAATTAATTCTGTTTCCGATTCTGAACTGCTATGCATTACATTTGTTCTTCGTCTTTTACGCAGATTGAAATTATTTTCATTTTCGAAATTCTCGTCATATTCGGAGTCCGTTAATTCGTTTTTAAATCGATTACTTTTTTTGTTTCCTGTAAACATTCTGAAAAAGGCCTAAAATGTTTCTATGAACAAGTTTCAAACAAAACCTTAACCTCAAATTTTTTAGATCAATTGAGATCAAACAACAATTATACCTGTAGCTGGTTTTTTCAGAATTCTTGTAAGAAATTAAGAAAGACTTTTTTATTAGAATAATTTTTATTGTATAAGAAATATCGATCCACTGTCGAATCGATGAAATCGGTTAAAAAAGCAGAAAACAATCGTCTTGAAATCCAAAGTCAAAAGTTTTAAGCGTATGTGCAAAATTATTTTGAATGTTTAATCTAATACGTCGGTAAAATAGAATACTCTGTTACCAACTATAGATGGCGCTCGTACACACAGGTCGTCGGATGGATGCCGGATATATCCGGTCCTTGTACCAAAAAGGTTAAGGTTATGTTGCTTAAATGTCAAACTACATGGCATATTTTAACCTTGAATGTCGATACTTTAAAATAGCAAAAGGGCGCGACAATAACTTAAATTCAAATTATTTATATTTTTGTCCAAAATTAGGCGGCACGAATTAATTAATATACCTAATATTTTAAGAGAATATTAAAAAAAATAATACACATAAGTATGTGTAAATAAAATATTATTATGTAGAAACTAACCTGTTTAAAGGAGTGTTAACCATTGGAACTTCCTCATCTATTATAACGTTTTCAAACTTTATGAATTCTTTATCTTCTAATTTTACATTTGTATTTAGGATAATATCACTTATAGTATCATCGTCTATGGTCGATCTATATAATAGTCATCAGCATTCTTATAATCAATAGTATTTTTTCTAAATTATCTTTACGAAAAAGTAGTACTGATTGTCAGTATTACTTTTTCATAAAGATTATAACAATACATGATATTTCATAAAATTGATTTTTCTAAATAGAAATTGCAGAATATTATCAAATCATTGAATTCTTCTATAGTATTATTATGAGAGTAATTTTTTTTCATAATACGTAAGTGTTAATACAAAACATTAAGTAGTTATAAAAACTAACCTGTTTAAAGAAGTGTTAACCATTGGAGCTTCTTCATCTATTATAACGTTTTCAATCTTCACGGATTTTTCATCTTCTAATTTTATATTTGCATTTGGAATAATATCACTTGTTGTATCATCGTGTATAGTTGATCTACAGACATTAGCATTTTTATTATCAATAGTCTCAATATTTTNTAATAATACACGATATCATAAAATTGATTTTTTGTATCATAAAATTGATTTTTTATAAAACAGAAATTGCAAAGTATTATCACACACAAATCATTATACGCTTCTGTAATATTATTTTAAAAGTAAATTTCTTTAAAATAGTACATAAGTATTAATACAAAATATTAAGTAATTATTATACAGAAACTAACCTGTTTAAAGGGATGTTAACTATCGGCACAGCTTCATCCATTATAACATTTTCAATCTTTATAGGTTTTTCATCTTCTAATTTTATATTTGCATCAATAGTACTTGTAATATCATCATGTATGGTTGATGCACAGTCGTTAGCATTTTCACTAGCGAAAGTTTCGATATTTTCTCTAAAAAAGTATAACAATAAATGCCATCATAAAAATTATTTTATCATGTGTATCATAAAAATGATTTTTCTCCAAACGTCATATATTTATATCAGACTTACTTGTTACTTTGTAAAGGTCGTGATATAGTGGGGTAAATTCCTGGTTTAAGAAATCTTCTAACACCATCGCCATGTACTTTATAAATAAAGTCAGATTCTTGGAAGTGTTTGCTACAAATTTCAGTATACGGACCTGTCTTATAACCAATAAACGCAAACCAATTTGCTCTAGTCTTTTCATCCCTTGGCAGCCTTAAAAACACATACCAACTGCTCGATTTATTTACAAACATTCGTAAAAAAAAATTTCGCATATTGTTTTGAGTTTTAAGTTTGCTAAAGTAATTAAAAACTTTTCAACTGAAGTCACTTGGATATATTTGCGTTCTCATAACTTCTCTTAAAAAAAATGTTACTTCAAGAACTTTGTTAAATTTTATTTTATAATTTGAATCATAAAATGAACTAGTAAATAAAACACATTTTTCATTTTTATCACGTATTATTTATATATTCTACACTTATAAATGTACATACCTATGAAAGGATACATCATCTTCTTCTCCTCCTCCTATTTTACAAATGATACAATATGCAACCATTTTTTTCTTCGTTCTTGTACCTTCTTACTTATTTTTTCGTTAACAAATTGCAATGTGCACTCAATAGGTCTGTTAAGTTTTGAAAACGTCTTTATGTCAGTTCTAAAGATTTAAGGTGCCATTTGGTGCATCCAGAAGCTACACCGCTCCCTGATCGATGAACTTTTTCATCCGATTGGCGTTATTTTTTTAGATCTAAAAATATACTCCTATCAAATACAAGAACTCACTAAGCGTTCGGTGAATGGTTGTACTTTCTAGATCACTAATTAACAGTCTGTAAGAGCTAAGAGAAAATCTAGAACTGACTTTGGAGACCTCGTACGACGAGAGTTCGAAACATCGCACATGTGTGTAAGTATTGTATTCCATACACGCACAGATGCATACACCCTAATGTATCGTTCGCGCAGACGCAAAAGCTGAAAGATTGGGTCAAGTTAGCTAGATAAGGATCGACTATACGAGTTAGAGGAAGACAGACAGTCTGTCAGCTGCACCAAAGTATCTCTAGGCTGCACTTTCCGTATTTGTATCTACATTCAAAGATATTTGGGTGTCGAACAAATAATATTTGTTCACCAAACTATTTTTAGGATTTTCCTTATAAATGTATCTCGCTCGCTATAAAGTCGGATTTTCCAATTAGGCTCTTACAAATTTATAATAAATGAAAATACAGACTCGTTCTGCACTCCAAGTTGAGCGTTAATTCAAATGAATCATCACGTTTTTTAACAGTTTTTGTAATAAACTACTCCGCGTTGCGCTGCGGCCTATTCTCTTGATTATAAATATCACAATTACAATGTGATTCTTTCTTTATTTTGATTTGAAAACGTAAAGTAAGAATTTGTAGTTCCAGAGTCTCCATGAGAAGCCTTCACAGCATCACCTGTACGTAGAACTTATAATAATGGAAAGGGGATGCAGACGTCGAGCTGTGAGCAAGATCTAAAGAACAGAAGTATCCTTCTCAGTGACTAATTTCGATTGGCGAAGCATGGTCATGCGCATAAAGAAGCTGACACATAACCATATTGTTTCCATGACTTTTCACAGGAAGATTTTTTGTTCACTGCACATAACGTACATAACTGTACATAAACGCAATTTTATTAATTTTTTACATAAAATTAATTAATACATGAATTGAGCATTTCTATGTTATAAAAAAAAAGAGAAAAGTATAGTCAAAGATAATTTTGTTACACCATTCCACAAATAATTATCTTCGAAATAACTTTTGAATACTCGGTACGCGTATATATGCTGATGATGAATTCCATATTAAGGTCCTTTTACACCTACGGCACGTCGATCATAAGCAATACTCATCGCGATAGCCAATCAGGAGTGTCAGTAATACCACTGACTGTCTTCGAGTGATACAAGTCAACGACAAATCAGGCAGGTTTTTTCTTTTGTCTTCTGAATATGAAATTGAAACAGGAAGTCAAGTGATTTTACTTGAAAAAAAATGCATTGGATTGTGAATTCAAAAGTTGAAACTTAACTGCTCGAAGAAAAGTGATTCAAAATCGATGTTAATTGATCCCCAACTAATCTGACGAAAGGACGAGAGGTGTCTTGAATGAAACGCTCGAATACGGATAGATTTATTTTCGGTGTTAATTTAATATACATCAAAGGACCCGCCAAAATCACTTTCACAGTGACGCAGGCGTCGCAGTGAGGTATTCTGTACTCGAGGCAACTGTGCGTTGTCCTGCGTCTGCTCCCTAGCACCGAAGCGGCGTCTTCAAAGTGAGCGAATGAAACGAGAGGGATGAGGCGAACAAGGAACGGAAGATGAAACGAGGTGCATAATGCCGACTGTCCCCGCATATACTCATCTCTCGTCCCGGCTAGTCGCTTCGAATGAAACGCCGATGCAGCACGGATAGTTTTTTTATTTTGTTTCAATAGAATCCCGAGAAAGTCACAACGTATAATCAATACGAATACGTTGTATGAAGTAAACGTAACTTCGAAAGCTATGTATCGCGGATCGTTCGAAGAATACTTTTAACAAATTTTATCAAAGTCGTAGAGCCGATCTTATTGGATTCTTTCAACGAATATTTTTACGTCGACCAATATTTGTACAGCTTTTCTTCTACAGAACAGAGAACAACGTTCCCTCGTGGTCGGTGCAAATCCCTTTTGAACATGGAATAACAAATTATTGGAATGTTATATTTTGCCGCTCGACAGTGTAAGTGCAATATAACACATGTTAGCACATAATAGTTACAATTGTTGAGTGAGAAATTACAACATTGATGTAATGCTACTCCGTTGCTCGATGTTCACTGTGGGATGTAATGAAATGTAATGTAATGGAACATCGGCCCTCGGTTGCGGACGCGATTTGTGAGATAAAATACGTGCAATGTTAATGTTCGCGTAGCGACATCGCAGTTTCAACGGTGCTCCTCTCGTCGGTTTCGCAGGACGGGCGCTTAAAATTCAAAGGCGATCGGCCGGTCACTGCCGACAAAAACTCGTGCCTCGCCTGCGTATTTTACGCCACTTTCTTGCGTGTACGCACGCGTGTAGGTATCTTTCTCTCTCCTCTCTCTTTTCTCCCTCCTTCTCTCCCCCCTTCTCCTACCCTTTCCTACTCTCTCTCTCTCTCTCTCTCTTTATCGCGTTGCCGCGGCCGCTCCTCAAGGACTGCCGCTCAGATAGTCAGTGAGAGCGAGTGAGAGGGAACGAGAGCTGGAGCTGGAGAAGAAAGAGCGCAACGATCGTAACACGGTAGCCGCGGCACGGTGGTGGGTTTAAATCATATTAAAGCACGTCCAGGCTTCTCGCGGCCCGTAAGCCCGGATAACGGACGTAGCTCCTTCTACGCACCAAATTCCACATACAAAGTAACCCGATCGCCTTACCTCGGCAGATCCGATGCAGGACGATCTAGACGAGAGCCCGTAGGTACCTCAGAGGATTAGTGCTCCCAAGGTACTAACTAAAGGAAAAAGGAAGAAGATGATCGCGTTGTCACATTCTTCTCTCGGTAGGTGTCGAGCCAAAAAGCTCACGAATTCACGAGGAAGTTCGGCCCCGGCGAGAGGTAGATTGATCTTAATCGACCCCGGGGACACCGTGATCACTCGCGACGGACGCCTACCGATTCATCATCGGGATAAAAAGAAGTATCGCTTCGATGAAAACAGACTGGCTTTCTTCTCGATCGATCGGACACGTCAATTAGAAGCGGCAGGAGGAAGTCTTTATATCGAAGAACGCCGTGATCGGCGACTGATTCTCCTATAGTAAAGCGAGTTTCTTCCATTCGTTCGACGGAAACGAGGGATTTCGCGTAATGTCACAACGCAGGCATTTATATTTGTTTCATTTGACCTTTCTTTTGGAAATCTCTCGATTGAATACGGATATCCTCCGATAATTCATTCTCCAATTTCGGACCGTGTAAATAGGTTCGTCGAACCTTCCTCTTTCCGAACAAAAAACCAACTCTTTTGAACCATGAATACCTTGGTAGGACCTTGACTTGTAAATTTCGAATATAGCCCATGCGTGTAAACGAATCCTTTATCTTCGATTATCCATCGAAACCTAGCCGTGAGCTAGCTGGTCTTGCTTCAGTTCTCGTCAAGCTGCCGAACAGCGAAGACCAAGTTCTCTGTCGCCGCTCGCCGTAAAAGCATCATCCGTGTACCGAGGAACCCGGAATAAAGTATCACCTGACTGCGTGCCTCTCGTTCCTCGGCTATTTCTAAGATTTTACATCACGCGTGCGAGCACCCGCTGAAACTCGCGCATGTGACAGAAAATGATGAGGGTGCGCGTTCATCCGCGACTTCAGGCGATGTCCATTGTAAGATTCGGTGGGACATTATTACGTGGATCGTGGCAGTGAGATAAGTTACTCGGTACAAATATACAGAAGGAGCTTGAATCCGATCACGCATACGCATACATACGCACACATACGCACGTACATACGCTCGCACGCTTGTGAAAAAGTTGCCTTCGCCGAAATTGCACCGGTATCGGCTCCCGGTTAACAGTGTACAGGAGTGTCGGTCCCATCTATCGGCGGAGATNGGGGGGGGGGGGGGGGGGGGCAAGATGAAAGACGGAACGTACGGAGAGATAAAGTGGTCTCGTGAAACGTTACGAAACAACGTGGGCAGTGCCGGTAGAAAATGGCGTGGGCCGCGACTGTCCGAGACCAGGTGGAACGTGTTTGTACAAGATATGGACTGATAAGCCATCACCGAGTCTCAACGAGAGGGCACGTGAGCACGGCACATAGTACGGCACCGTTTATGGTCGATCGGAGAAAATGCATTCGTTACCTCCGACGAGATTTCTAATATTCCCTGGAAAGAACAAAAAAAGCAACAAAAGGAGAACCGCGTGTCTCTCACGACATATCGATGATAGAAATGGAAAGTATTGAAGCTTCACTATTCCGATCCATGAAGTTCGCGAGATCATGCAACTCCGTCCTCGATTTTATTCGATGGTTGCTATGCCATTATTCGTACGGAAAGCATGCACATTCGGGAGCAGAAAAATTTCGGTACTTTTTTCCTCAGTCATTTCGGAACGCATCCAGTGATCAGTGAGAAAATTTATTCGCTGGGAGCGGCTTTAAAACGAACTTTCTCCTGTTGGACATTGGTTGTGTTTCGAAATGCGTCGGAAGAAAAGTGTCGAAAAATACGTGAAATCAAGAAATACGGTGGCGGTGTCTCGCGCCAAGTGGGCGCGCGAAACGTGGAACGGGCACGAAGCCAGTATTAAAATACTGAATGCATTCTGAAATTCATCGAGGTAAAAAGTATTGCAACTTTTCTCCCATTGGCTGTGTTTGTACACCGAGCTTCAATAAAGCCTTAATACTAGAAAGCCTACTTACTAGATAAAAACTCGCTTCTAATCGCCTTTCTAATCGTCTCTATTGTGTTCGGCTACACGTAATACGATATAATACGTCAAGCTGTCAAAATGACAGATTAACCATGTAATAAACGATTATGATGTGTACGCATATCCAAACAACGATACGACCGATTAGAAACGGTTAGAAAGACTAATGAATGTTGGCGTAATAAATTAAGGTTTTATTAAAGCCTAGCATATCTGTATGATACATTTTTACACTGTCAAAAAGATATTTAGACAAAAATTAATTGTTATAATACATATTTTAGTTTTAATAAGAATATATTTAATTCATACAATACAGTATGATATTCGACAAAAATTTCTCCCGTCTATAAAACAACTATATATAAAAAAGAGTAGAATGTCTCGCGGACCTTTTTAAGATGAAA